ACTGGGGGGAAATTTAACGAGTACACCAGAGTTTTTCGTAGAGCGAGACAAAAGTAATGAAAGGATCAGACAATAACAAAATGCTATTGAACGTGGAGGTGAGAGAGAGAGAGAGAGAGGAGAGAGAGAGAGAGAGAGAGAGAGAGAGAGTGAGTTGGCCAAGTGAAACAACCATCAACTACCCGACCCTCCATTTCCATTGCAAACTCAGCGCCCCTTTTAAATCACCTTCGTCCCTACACTTGCAGCCCACACCTGCACTGCTCCTTCAGTCGTACCTCCATCAGACGCTCCTCCCTCACCTATCCACACCCGACCAACACGTCGACCATTCCCAGGCTTAACTACCTATTGAAAACCCATTACTCGAGTACGCTGCACCAGCATGGAGCACCTCCTCTCACCAAATACAAACTCAACTTGGAAATACCAGAGGTTTACTACTAGACTGACCCCAGAACTTTGAGAACTCAAACATGAAGATTAAGAGAAGTAAAACCCACAAGCTAAACCAGGTTGAGGGACTGATTACCTCATTCTCCTCCTCTCCTTACACCTTCTTTGTATTGGACTGATGAAGCCACTGTGGCGAAACGTTTCCTGAATAAAGATTCCCATATGCTGCATAAGTGTCTCAATCTTCAACTTGTCGGTTTTTCAAACCATTCATCACAACTGTCAGACACAGCAGCATCATGGGATCTTGTTACAAAGAATTCTTCAACACTTGTTCAACCTTTGGACGAAGACCAACTTCGACTAGTGGATGGTACCACTATGACCCCGCCTCCGCCTGCTTCACCTCACATCTCTACAGTATATAAGCCACGTCTACGGCCCTATGCTGTACATTCTACAAGATTGATGGACTGAACACATCGACTCCAGGTTGAGGGACTGATTACCTCATTCTCCTCCTCTCCTTACACCTTCTTTGTATTGGACTGATGAAGCCACTGCGTGGCGAAACGTTTCCTGAATAAAGATTCCCATATGCTGCATAAGTGTCTCAATCTTCAAGCTAAACCTGTCAAGTGATTATTATTTTATTATTATAATCAAAAAGAAGCGCTAAGCCACAAGGACTATACAGCACCTGTCAAGCGAGTGCAGCAGATTATTTCCCTCTTAAGTTCTTCTCACAACTCGCTAAACATCTGCAAATAAACAGGTGTTTTAAGAAGTGCCTTACATTTACACAGACATATGGAATGAAGCGTGGGGGAATTAGAGGAATAACAGAGAATATATGAAGAGAAGCAGGAGCATACATCGCTGGAAACCTGGAGGACAATGGAAACCGACGCTATGCTGTACGTAACGCAAACTCTCAGTGGAATACTTGATGCTGTTCTCGTTGTATTACTGAAATCTCTCAGCTCAGGCTGACAGATTTGAAAGCTATGTAACTCCTCTCTGATGGAACATGACAGGAAAACATTGCTAGTGTTTGCTGTCACTATGTTACCATCAAACAGAATAAGGCAGCATCACACTGCTAATAAACCCAATTTTGTTAGGAAAATAAGAAAGCAGAAGACCAGAAGGAGACTTGATCGTAACATCTGAAATACCCAGAGTCATAGGCAAAAGTGATAGGGACAGAACACTGAAGAAGGGAGGGGACACAATCGAAAAATAAGCTTTAAAATAAGCGACAGGGACATAAATAATTCTGTCAACAAAAGGGCAGTAAATAGAGAGAATGCATCAAGAAAGGACAAGCGGAGGATAACCCAGAGTGTATTTTATTATATTATAATATATTTATATATATATATATATATATATTATATATATATATATATAATATATATATATATATATATATATATACCTCTGTTTTCTGTAATTTTGCAAGCTCCTGGTGATGTGTTGATGCAACACGAAAGGCCTAGAGCTATCATTCTACTACTAGAGAGAGAGAGAGAGAGAGAGAGAGAGAGAGAGAGAGAGAGAGAGAGAGAGAGAGAGAGAGAGCCGCAATAGGTAATCGAGGTGCAAAGGGGAGGGGCGGCTGTCCAAGAGCTGCAACTTAATGCCAGTACGCACAGTTAGGCGAGTACACATTGCAGGCTATACAATATTAAACTCAATTACATTAACCCTTTATAAAAAGTAATTTCATGGCTGATGGCGTCTTCCACCTCCCGAGGGAATGATTCTCAGATGCTCAACTCTTATTTTATCCATGAAAGCTTAATTACGTCTCCTTTACGACTGTATCTGCCAGACTTTGAAGACTTTGTGGCAGTCACTCTCAGTGTTGCCACATGCACTGGGCTCTCCTGGCGACAGTGTTGCCAGTTACTCTAAGATCTCATGATGACAGTGTTGCCACATACACTCAGCTCTCATTGTGGCAGTATTGCCATGTACTTTTGCTCCACATGACTACAAATGCATTCACTGGTCAACACTGATTTTCTGGCCAATGATATTACACGGATTTTAGGACAAATTTTCGGTGCTGTCATTGATTTTGTTTGATTGGTTCTAGTTTTTCATAAATTATTTTTTAGATATTGTAAAAGTCAAATTATGTAATGCATACTGGCACTTCATTCTATATAATAATATATTAATATAGTAAGGTAATTCAGATTAATTACTGCAGGTAATGCAGCATTAATTACTGCATATGAAAACGTTGTTTGTGCGATTTTCTTCTATGTTGATGATCAGAACAGTTTTGTTGAACAAGCAATTGCAAGATATGCATATTGGTTACCATTGTGCAATAAGACACATTTCAGGTCGTATTCGAAGAAGTTCAGGGATGCTATTGCAACATGCAAGTTCATCATCTTGGCTGGAGTGAGGAAGGAGTTCAACCTCTCTTGTCCGATAAGCTGTTATTTTAACTTCTTGTAGACAGTTCTTTTCTTGTAGTCTGGATACTCTAAAAGTTCAGATGGTTACTCTGACAGACTGATGTCACGTATCACAGAATTGAGTTCTCCTTGGGAGAACTGCTAGGGTGTTGGAATGCTTACTTCATATTCACTTCCACTGCTATCACCTGTGTTACATCACTTCACTGCTATCACCTGTGTTACATCACTGCTATCACGTGTTACTCACTTCACTATCACTGTGTTACATCATATTCACTTCCACTGCTATCACCTGTGTTACATCACTTCCACTGCTATCACCTGTGTTACATCACTTCCACTGCTATCACCCGTGTTACATCACTTCCACTGCTATCACCCGTGTTACATCACTTCCACTGCTATTACCCGTGTTACATCACTTCCACTGCTATCACCCGTGTTACATCACTTCCACTGCTATCACCCGTGTTACATCACTTCCACTGCTATCACCCGTGTTACATCACTTCCACTGCTATCACCGTGTTACATCACTTCCACTGCTATCACCCGTGTTACATCACTTCACTGCTATCACCCGTGTTACATCACTTCCACTGCTATCACCCGTGTTACATCACTTCCACTGCTATCACCCGTGTTAATCACTTCCACTGCTATCACCCGTGTTATATCACTTCCACTGCTATCACCTGTGTTACATCACTTCCACTGCTATCACCCGTGTTACATCACTTCCACTGCTATCACCCGTGTTACATCACTTCCACTGCTATCACCCGTGTTACAATCACTTCCACTGCTATCACCCGTGTTATATCACTTCCACTGCTATCACCTGTGTTACATCACTTCCACTTCTATCACCCGTGTTACATCACTTCCACTGCTATCACCCGTGTTACATCACTTCCACTGCTATCACCCGTGTTACATCACTTCCACTGCTATCACCCGTGTTACATCACTTCCACTGCTATCACCCGTGTTATATCACTTCCACTGCTATCACCTGTGTTACATCACTTCCACTTCTATCACCCGTGTTACATCACTTCCACTGCTATCACCCGTGTTACATCACTTTCCACTGCTATCACCCGTTTACATCACTTCCACTGCTATCACCCGTGTTATATCACTTCCACTGCTATCACCTGTGTTACATCACTTCCACTTCTATCACCCGTGTTACATCACTTCCACTGCTATCACCCGTGTTACATCACTTCCACTGCTATCACCCGTGTTACATCACTTCCACTGCTATCACCCGTGTTACATCACTTCCACTGCTATCACCCGTGTTACATCCTAAACCCTGAGTATCTTCAACATCTGACAATGGAAGGTCAGGCAGTGTTCTAAACATTGCTATGGTAACATCACTGTGTGGCACAGATCTCTTTACTGACTCCAAATCAAGATATTCCCTCTTGACTTTCTTGTATCCAGTGAAACCTTTCACATCCACCGTCCAGAAATAACAATGGTCGTGGTGGTTTTCTCGGTTTTCTCCACACCTATTTTTTCCACTATGGTAAGCATTCTGCCCAAGTTTTGCAGACCATATGTGGAGCCCAAGACTTGTCTTGTTCTCCAAGCGCCACTCCAAAATAAACAAGATTGTTTTACAAAAATCTGTGATTTTGTCTTTGTTTTTGTAAACAGTATTAGCCATAAATGTCGAAAAATGCAATTGGGATTGTTTAAGTAGACTTTTCGTTGTTGATACAACCCCCTTACGTTAAATGACACATAATTTAAAAAGAAAATTCTAATTTTTACTAAAACTATCTGTATATTCCAATTGCCACTACATAAACATATACACTCGATGTTCCCTGTTAACTGAGGGTAGGTATTAAAAATCTCAAACTAGAGCCAATTTGAAAAACCTACTGACGTTTTCGAATTCAACAACGCAGAGATGCCTCTGCTTAGTAGCTTTCTTTGAACCAGTCAAATTGTGATATGTAAACACACGCTGTTAACTTTGCAAAGAAATATATTGTTGATATTATTTCTTCTTATTATTATTATTATTATAAAATATTATTATAAAATATTTTTGACGACGATTTTTTTTATTGACCAGTGAATTATTATTATTATTATTATTATTAGACGATTGATTTAGTTACTCTTCCTTTCAGAATGGGCAGTGGCGCGATCAAATCGAAAAACTAACCTGAAATGGCACTGTAACCTGAAGTGGCACTGTAACCTGAAGTGGCACTGTAACCTGAAGTGGCACTGTAACCTGAAGTGGCACTGTAACCTGAAGTGGCACTAACCTGAAGTGACACTGGAACCTGAAGTGACACTGTAACCTGAATTGACACTGTAACCCGAAGTGGCACTGGAACCTGAAGTGGCACTGGAACCTGAAGTGACACTGGAACCTGAAGTGACACTGGAACCTGAAGTGACACTGGAACCTGAAGTGACACTGGAACCTGAAGTGACACTGGAACCTGAAGTGACACTGGAACCTGAAGTGGCACTGCAACCTGAGTGGTAATAGTGGCTTTCCTTTCATAAATGTCTATGACAGTGATCTGCGCACACCTTTTTACTTATAAACTACTAGCACATCTCGTCATCTTTAAGGTACTATTAGCACATTCTTCCACACCTACAAGGCACTCAACACATCTCAGCACATCCCTCCACATTTACAAGGCGCTCAACACATCTCAGCACATCTCTCCACATTTACAAGGCGCTCAACACATCTCAGCACATCCCTCCACATTTACAAGGCACTCAACACATCTCAGCACATCCCTCCACATTTACAAGGCACTCAACACATCTCAGCACATCCTTCCACATTTACAAGGCACTCAACACACCTCAGCACATCCTTCCACATTTACAAGGCACTCAACACATCTCAGCACATCCCTCCACATTTACAAGGCACTCAACACATCTCAGCACATCCCGCCACATTTACAAGGCACTCAACACATCTCAGCACATCCCTCCACATTTATAAGGCACTAACACACCTCAGCACATCCCTCCACATTTACAAGGCACTCAACACATCTCAGCTCATCCCTCCACATTTACAAGGCGCTCAACACATCTCAGCACATCCCTCCACATTTACAAGGCACTCAACACATCTCAGCACATCTCTCCACATTTACAAGGCACTCAACACATCTCAGCACATCCCTCCACATTTACAAGGCACTCAACACACCTCAGCACATCCCTCCACATTTACAAGGCACTCAACACATCTCAGCACATCCCTCCACATTTACAAGGCACTCAACACATCTCAGCACATCCCTCCACATTTACAAGGCACTCAACACATCTCAGCACATCCCTCACATTTACAAGGCACTCAACACACCTCAGTACATCCTCCACATTTACAAGGCACTCAACACATCTCAACACATCCCTCCACATTTACAAGGCACTCAACACATCTCAGCACATTCCTCCACGCTCAATACATTTCTGTACATTTTTTAATGTTTTGTTTTTCTCTATCAATACGAACTCCTAAATACATTTCTCCCCCATTACAGTTACCGAACTTATTTCCAAATTGCCTACATCGCGTTGAACACACTCTTGTAGGGTGCTGAACACACCCTAACAGTTTGTTGAGCACACCCTTGCAGAGTGAGACCCTCAACACATCTTCATTTTCGTAAAAGCCTTGAGCCCATTTACAGAGACTTTGCTCCCACAGTAGCACCTTCCAGCAAAGATCTGAACTAGTCCTATGCTTCTCCTCCAGGTGGCTCTTCTCACGAAGCTCTAGATGCTAGTCTCTTCTCCTGCAGGTGGTTCCTCCTGTAAAAGTCTGAACTCGCTCTCTGTCCTAGTTGGTCCAGCCACTCTGGTAACAACACAGCGTATGGTTTTGAACGAGTGTTCTCAGAGTCAGCAAGAGTCACTTTGGTACCACCAGACAGTCTGCTAGAGCAACCCAACTAAGAACACTCAATGACAAAATGTTAAAATGAAGGAAAAGCTTGCGTAGAGAACTGTGTGGGGGCTCTTCCCACTCTCACTCCCACTCCCACTCTCACTCCCACTCCTCCCACTGCCGTGTTTAATTTCATTAGTGTCTGCAATGTCTGGGACAAACTTGGTGGGGGAAAGAAGTTGTAATTTACCGTCTCTCTCTTTCTTCATTACTTACTTCCAGCACCTGTTAATTCTTCAGTCCCTCACACCTGTCCAACATTCACCACCCTCCCTACAGCTACCCAGCCTTCACCACTCTCCCTACAGCTACCCAGCCTTCACCACTCTCCCTACAGCTACCCAGCCTTCACCACTTCTCCACACCTGTCCACTTAAAACCTGAACTCCAGCACAAACAGTTTAATGATTAAAAGAGCACTTCGCTATATAAAATGTCTGAAGGAAACTGATTGCATCAGTTAAATAATTCTCTCCTTAATCAAAAGGGTATTGCATATTAAACCTGTTTACTCGTGTCTGTGTGCAAAAATGCTGATATTCTAAGTGTAAGAAAGCTGGTACCGTGTTGTGTCTGAGTGTAAAGATGCTGATACCTTTTCCTGGATGTAATGAGGCAGAAATCTTGTTGTCTCAGAGTGCAAGAAAGCTACTGTCTTTTTCGCCGTATCTGAGTGAAGGGAATCCGATACCTGGTTCTCCGTGAGGATACAGGTTAAATATCCCGGACCATGACCGGATAATGTCTGTATTATTCAAGCTCCGCTGTACTTGAGATTCAACTTTACCTCAGGATTCACACGCTTGGGGAAAAAAATATTAATTACAAAGTTTAAGTTTAGAATAGATGGTCGAAGTTTTGAAATTTATGTTTGAGACGTAGACAGCTAAAGTATCAAGGGGCTATGTCGCCTTATTTGTAGAAATGCCTCATGCGTATCTCCTATATAATAGTAATTCACTAACTGGGAAGCTCGGGGAGGCTGCCTGGATTCAGAAAAATGCTACAGAAAGTTTTTAACCTTAAAAAAATCTTCTCAAGTCAAGGTGAGCAGGAAAATTAAACCCACTCAATATCCCTTTTCAATAATGTACTCAATAATATACACAATACCATGCTATACATTCTATATTAATAATTTTTGATGTTATTTTTCAGATTGTTACTCAACAAGGGAAGACTTTTTTTTAACTTTCTTACAGAAAAAATATCAGTGAACATATAAGAAACTTAAACGTCAATCCGGAATAAGAAATCACTCATGATAATGACATATATGTGATCTATGGAAACAAAAGTTTAAGATGTAGGAACTACACAATACAGCTTATTGCTGCCGGGGACTACAGTCCTAATGAATGTGGTAAGAAACTCGCCATGACGTTATTAAACATGTGACAATTGTGATTATTCGCTGGTGAGTAGAGTATAGTTACACACGAGGAAGTTGTTCAAGAGATTCGGTAAGTGGACGATAGCTACACATGAGGAAGTTTCTGGGCAGAACCAGGTAACACAAAGTACTTGCAGCAGAAGACACTGATGAATGGTGCACTGTGATGGAGATGAACCACATTCTTAACTCGCTGGGGATGATGGAGGCGGTGACTGACGCACAAATGGAGAGGGAACTCTCGATAAGCAGAGTGATGGATCTTGAAGTCACTACGGAAGCTCCTTGGGAAGCGGAAGGCACCACGGAGACGCTTTCGCAGACCATCTTGGAGACGATAAACCTCAACGTCTCCGGGTGGGAGGGCGGATTACTACCGCAGGAGAAGTGCGACTTCCTGCTAGAGATCAACTACTCCCTGCCCAACCTAACGTGTCTGGGCCACGCCCCAGAGTTCACTTCGGAGTCTCAGGTTCGAAGCATCGTTCTCGCCGTCATGGCCGCTCTCTCTCTCGTCGGGAACACTGCCACCATCGTCAGCATAGCCAGAGAGAAGAGGCGGTCTCGCTCTACCGTCTACACACTCATACATCACCTCTCCGTAGCTGATCTCTTTGTTACCTTCGCCTGCCTAACCACAGAATCAGTGTGGACCTTCACGGTTCAGTGGGTGGCCGGTAACTTTCTCTGTAAGCTCATCAAGTACCTTCAGATGTTTAGTTTGTACCTCTCCACTTTCATCCTGGTTCTCATCGGTGTGGATCGCTTCACTGCCGTCAGGTATCCAATGAAGCGATCTGACACTCACAGGCACTGCAGTTATGGAATCGTCTTCGTGTGGGTGTTAAGCGGCGTCTTGAGTATACCACAGGTAAGCTCTTGTTATGTATTGTTTAGTGCTTCAGGTAGGTTCTGTGTAATGTGCAGTGCTTAATCCGCATTTTTAAAAATACCACCACGGCTTGATTATGGTCCAAGACCATATGTTATATATGTTATATATATGTTATATATATGGTTTGGTCATTTAGAGAGAATGGATCAAAGTAGAATGACATGGAAAGCATATAAATCTATAGGGGAAGGAAAGAGGGGTAGGGGTCGTCCTCGAAAGGGTTGGAAAGAGGGGGTAAAGGAGGTTTTGTGGGCGAGGGGCTTGGACTTCCAGCAAGCGTGCATGAACGTGTTAGATAGGAGTGAATGGAGACGAATGATACTTGGGACCTGACGATCTGTTGGAGTGTGAGCAGGGTAATATTTAGTGAAGGGATTCAGGGAAACCGGTTATTTTCTTATAGTCGGACTTGAGTCCTGGAAATGGGAAGTACAATGCCTGCACTTTAAAGGAGGGGTTTGGGATATTGGCAGTTTGGAGGGATATGTTGTGTATCTTTATACGTATATGCTTCTAAACTGTTGTATTCTGAGCACCTCTGCAAAAGCAGTGATAATGTGTGAGTGTGGTGAAAGTGTTGAATGATGAAAGTATTTTCTTTTTGTTGAAAAAAAAAAAAAAAAAATATATATATATATATATATATATATATATATATATATATATATATATATATATATATATATATATATATATAATATATATATATATATATATATATGTCGTGCCGAATATGTAAAACTGGTCAATTAGCAAGAACTCATTTAAAATTAAGTCCTTTCTGAAATTTTCGATTATACGTTTAAAGATATATTTTTTTTCATTAATGTTAATGTAAAAAATTTTAATTTTGCACCAAAAGAATCTTAGAAAACTTACCTAACCTTATTATAACAAGAGCAATTTATTTTAGCCTAACTCAACTAAATATATTTTAAATACGTTTACAATAATTTAGTACTAAACAAACACAATCAAATATATTTTTTCGTTAGATTCAGAATGATTTTGGCGAAATTATTGCATACACAAATTTTCACTTCTCCTATATGGCAAGATGAGCGTTGCTATTTAAGCTAAGATCGCAAGTTCTGCCTATTCGGCACGACATATATATATATATATATATATATATATATATATATATATATATATATATATATATATATATATATATATATATGTTATATATATATATATATGTTATATATATATATATATGTTATATATATATATATGTTATATTATATTTATATATATAGTTATATATTTATTATATATATATAAATTTTTATATATATATTTATATATATATATATTTATATATATATATTTATATATATATATTTATATATATAATTTATATATAATGTTATATAATGTATATATATATATACTTCTGTTGTGAATAATGCTGGACACCGTTTTAATAGTAACTTAGTTTTTTATTAAAAAAAATGCTCGTATAGATTCCTAATATATTTTAAAAACATTATATTGTTTTTAAAAACAAATATAATAAAATAATTTAAGCAAAATATTATTTTTGAGGCAGATATTGCTACATTTTTTTTAATGTAATGAGTTTGTTTTGGTCAGTTTAGTTATGGTAACACTTGTTTCGTGTACGCTTCGTAGGACTACTTTACAAGCCTCTTATTATCCTTTCTAGCTTAATGCCGAACAACTTCTTGGAAACCCAGTGGACTTCGTTGTAACATTTAACCGGTCTTTTACATTGGGTTTACGTTCACGTCTCGCATACGTTCCCTGTCGCTTCATACAAACGTTGAACAAAACCCGAAACGTTCCCGAGGGAGTGTCACTGCAGGAGTAGAGAAAGTTTTAATATTTACGCTTTGGCCGAACGATCTTACCTGGCAATTTAAAACGGACTTTAAATATGTACACTGCGCAGCAAGACTTCGAAGTCTAACGTGCGATCCCGTAGCCTGACGGTGGGGGAAGGGGAGAAGTCTAGGCAATTATAAGTTATTTATACGCACCCTTACGTAAGTTACAAGTGAATTTCCTGAATTTACCTGTGTTATTGCGTCCTTCATCGTGGTATTTATGTATCTACACCTGTGTTCCAATGGAGGAAGTGGTTAATGTCTCACTGGCAGGAGAACTGGGTGATGTAACAGGGCGTTAGAGTCACATTCACAGCAGCGGTAAATTGCCAAACTCTCTAAGCAGGAGTGGAGTTAAAAATTATATTCCACCTTATTGTTTGTTATGATTCTCTTAGTCGCCAGCTTCGTTGCTGGTTCAGGGGTATTTTGGGTCAAACTTAAGCTCTGGGTAGAGCTTAATCATGACTTGAAGCTCGAAATACTAGTGGGCAAAGCTCGAATGCAATGAAATATGATTTAGCTTACCAAAGATCTACCCAGAGTGAAATAAGACTTGATGAAGCTCAGAACAGCGTGAAGCATGGCCTGATAAAGCTCTTAGGAGAGTGAAACATAACTTGACAAAGCTCTACACAGAAATGTTCGTTCGCCAGTATCTTTTAATTTTCCTTCGCTACTGTAGCCAGTGCAACGTTTCTCTCCAAATCCATTTACTTCGATCGTTAACTAAACTAAAACTGCGAGTCTCTGGGCGAAATAATTTCTAAATAGTAATATAATAATTTTTATTAATTAAACTCATGAAGGAAGAAGAATGAAGAATCTTTGACTGAGTCAGCCGTAAAAAAATTTTTAACCAATAAGGAAATTCTGGGCATTTAAGATCAAAAAGATGCTGGGATCTTGGTCCAAGGATTGTGCTTAGGAGAGACAATAATGTACAAAGCACAGTCCGTGGAAGGCCTTCCCCGGTCACCGGTACGCGAACTTGGTCCGGCTTCGTCCGATCACCCCCGCCTCCTGGTAATTAACTATCCCGTCCCTCACATCCCGGTAGTTAACCTGTCCCTCACATCCTGGTAGTTAACTATCCTGTGCCTCACATTCTGGTCAATGGCTTCCGGTTTCATCTCATTTGCATAAACCCTCCAAACTTTTATATCATCGCCACATCGATCAAAAAAGCAATTAGGAACATTTAATGGCCCTAAATTAAGTGATATGAAGGTTCACAGCGTAATACACTCTTGGAATTAATAATTACACTCTTAGTAGGTCAAATTAACTTTTAATAACTGCACTCCTAGGACCACTGGTAGGACCACTGGTAGGACCCCTGGTAGGACCATTGATAAGACCACTAGTACGACCACTGGAAGGACCACTAGTAGGATCACTGGCAGGGCCACTGCCAGGACCAGTGGTAGGTTCACTGGAAGGACCACTGGAAGGATCACTGGTAGGACCACCGGTAGGACCACCGGTAGGACCACTGGCAGGACCACTGGCAGAACAACTGGCAGAACTTGTAGAACTACTGGTAGGACCACAGGTAGGACCACTGGTAGAACCACTTGTAGAACCACTGGTAGGACCACTGGTAGAACCACTGGTAGGATCACTGGTACAACAACTGGTAGAACCACCACATATTACTGGAGTATTAATTTACATATATGTACGATGCTGAACACGAGAGAGAGAGAGACAGAGAGAGACAGAGACAGAGACAGAGACAGAGAGAGACAGAGAGAGACAGAGAGAGACAGAGAGAGACAGAGAGAGACAGAGAGAGACAGAGAGAGACAGAGAGAGACAGAGAGAGACAGAGAGAGACAGACGAGAGACAGAGGACAGAGACAGAGAGAGACAGAAGAGAGACAAGAGACAGCAGAGAGAGACAGAGAGAGACAGAGAGAGACAGAGAGAGACAGAGAGAGACAGAGAGAGACAGAGAAGAGACAGAGAGAGACAGAGAGAGACAGAGAGAGACAGAGGAAGAGAGAGACAAGAGAGACAGAGAGAGACAGAGAGAGACAGAGAGAGACAGAGAGAGAACAGAGAGAGACAGAGAGAGACAGAGAGAGACAGAGAGACAGAGAGAGACAGAGAGAGACAGAGAGAGACAGAGAGAGACAGAGAGAGACAGAGAGACAGAGAGACAGAGAGACAGAGAGAGACAGAGAGAGACAGAGATTTAAACAACATTTTGGTTGTTTTAGTTGTTTAAAACAACTAAAACAACTAAAGATAATGGCGTCTTGAACCTGCATAAAACAAAAAAAAAACGAGAAAACGAACTAAGGAAATGAGGTCATGGATAATGGGAAATGATGACTGATGATAAATCACGGGAAAAAATTTGGCTGAATGAATAATGATGGTCCAAGGAACGAGTTTTAAATATACTCCATCCATTTTACTTAACGAAAGATTAACGAATTCGCTCACGAAGTCGAGGGAAGCATTAAAGAAGGGTAATGATCGTTTAGCATAAAACGACACTCCCACACACACACACACACACACACACACACATAAATACACACCCACATTCACACACACACACGTAAGCCAGCACAAAGACGTGATAAATACAAAATATAAATGTTTTGGCAGAAGGGAAGTTAAAATAAGATCTTTTGTTAAGCTGGACATTTCTTTGAGAAAGGTAGACTACCAGACGCAAGATATTTATAATACCACATCGTCAGGTGTTGGTAAGGGAGCCTGCTTGACACCGTGACTCTCGTGCCTGCATGGCACTGTGACCCTCGTGCCTGCATGGCACTGTGACCCTAGTGCCCACATGGCACTAAGGAGAAAAAGTAAATATAAATATGCGCTGAAGCAACGTCGCAAAGAATCTTCTTGACGTGAATGTAATTGACACTTCAAGAATATTATCGACGCTTCAAGAACATGACTGACGCTCTGAGAAGATGATTGACACTTCAAGAAGATGACTGAGATTCTTGCCACGTCAAGAAGATAGTCGAAGACACCTGGCACTTTCGCCTAAATGACTTCTTATCCTCCAACAGCTCTCTCTTCCACTGGCAAAACGTTCTGGCTTCTGGTGAAAGGCGATCTGCCGTGTCTGGAATAATGTATTTGAAC